TCTGCAGAGTTGCTCATCACTTCCTCTTCCTGCTTCCAGGTGCCTCTGGGATTTGTAGTCTGCAGTTGCAGTAAGCAATAAGTTTTTAGCAGGTCAAGGCAGCTCTGTGCTCAAGGGAGGAGAAATTTAGCCCCCTCCCTGGCCCCAGACCCCAGCCAGGGTTTGCTGCGGGGGAGGAGTGGAAGGGGGGGCAGTCCCTTCCTCCCCCGTCCCTCCCAACCCTTCTCTTCTGGAGCAGACAGTACAGTACAGCCCAGCCCAGGGCTGGAAAGCAAACTGGGATGATGGGGGACTGTGATTTAACTTGAACTAGGAAAGTGGTCTGGGACAGAAGTTTCATAAATTGGTTTGACCCAAATCTAAACCGGTTGGTGTGTAACTTCTGTCCTTAGCCAAGAAGAGCAAGCCAGGGGGAGTGTGACTGCCTAGTGATGACAGCATTTGGGTGGAGCAGAGAGTGGAGGGGGCTTGGTTCTGGTTCCATGAACAGCAGTTCTCATGCATTTTAGGTTCGACAGTTGTTACAGTATATAAAAAGCCTGGTAGCAGGGGACTGGTTTGATGCATTGTTTTTCAGTTATTTCTTCAAGTTTCTTAATAATGTTAATTCTGATTTCAGACTATATGTTACCTGCAATTTTCTCTTTTTTTTCAAACAGATGAAGCATGTAAAAGAAAGACTCGGTGAGAATGTGCAAGAAGAAGTGCTTCTACTCTGCTTGGGTGTCACTTCTGGAATTGGCCGACTAATCTTTGGCAGAGTTGCAGATTATATTCCTGGGGCAAAAAAAGTTTATTTACAGGTAGGGCTTCTGCATGTTTGCAAAGGAATTTGCATACTGCACCCCTAGCTTTGGTTTGCAGGAACTGGAAGAGAATAGACATTCTTTGTTTGCTGATTGAATTTGATGAGTTCAAGGAGGATGAATGTGACTGCTGGTGGTACTAGGGTTCTCCAGATCTAAGTGCAGGAGGCTCTAGGAATTACAACCTTCTTTTCTTGGGAAGTAAGGTATGCTAGACAGCAGTCTCACTTTCAGTAGTAAGGGAACTCTTTAGCCAGTTGGAACAGTGAATGAAAGAAATGCTGAAAGAAATTTATCCCATAAGTCCTAGTGCTGCAGCTTTCTGGGGGCTTTTCTTCGACTCAGTTAAATGGGGCCATTTAGTAACAAGTGAGTTTTTCTTACTCAGTAATGTCACAGTCCACAGTAAGACCAACTTGTGAGTGTTAGGCACAAACCCTGAAGACCCTGTTGGGCAGCCCCAAGGACCCAAGGTAAGTGGCAGAAGAAGTCAATGGACTCGTGGTAGAAGGAGAAGGAAACAGATTCCTGTTCCTCAAGCCTCCAAAGACACCTGAATTTGGGAAGAGTGGAGGATTAAAGGTTTTCCAGTAGTGCAGCCAATTTTGCTCCTTATTCATAAGTACAGAATTTTGTAGAAGCTCTGGATTTAATGTAAATATATTGCACAGCTCTAGCTCTGATTTTTTTTTTTACTGGAATGGTATTTGTTGCTTCACAGAAAGAAAAAGAAACTTATTCAGTTATAACACAGGAGACCCCTGGTGGACACTCACCACACTGCATTTGCTGTGGCCAATACAGGAAAACCTCTTTAATTCGAAACACAGGAGACCAAAATATACCAACTTAAAAATAAACAGGTTTGAAATAAATGTACCCATAGTAATTTGAATGTATGGATGGGCAGTGAAGACCAACCCCTGACTGGGATTGGGAACAGTTTGATAGGATCAGGGACAGTTTGGCATAATTGGGGTTGGTGGGATTGGGGCCAGGTGGGCGGGAACAGGGACGATGGGTCTGCATTGGAGCTTGGTGGGATTTATGGGGAGGGGTTGTGGGACAGTTCAGCACTTAGATTGACATAACCAGGTGAAAAAGACTCCCTAGATCATTGCTGCTGTTCTACAGTAGGAACTCCTTGTACTACATACCATGAAATCTGTTTAACTAGTCACTGGGATAAGTCCTGACTTTGTTCTTATCAGTTAGTAAGGTTCGCATGTGGGTGAACTAAGTATGTACATATCCATAGTAATTTGGATACATGCAAATTACTATGGGCACATTTATTTTGAACCCATTTATAGTATTTCAGAGTCACTATTTTTTGGTCCTTTGTATTTTGAATCAGTGAGCTTTCCCTTGAATGAGGGACCAGAAAACAGCTTTGACTTTCAAAGTAGATATTTTGGATAATTATCCATATAGCAAAGCATACACAAATAAATACTTTTGGTTGGGAAGTGACAATTGCTTGAAGTATCTGATACTTTGAACTATCCCATATTGAACAAATGAGGTTTTCCTGTACTATTGTGGAAGTCTGCTTTTTGTAGGAGAAATCTTTTTCACCTTGCCTGTATATTTTTAGTTTTAAAGGTAAGAGATATCAATAGAAAGGAGGAAGGAATACTGGACATAGTTTTGGACTGATTCATAATCCACTGTCACACTTGGGAGATTTTATTATGTCTAAAGCCAATTACAAAAAAGACATAAATTACAACTGTATATAGTTTAAAAGTCACCAGTTTTTTACCTCTCTCTGGCTGGTAGCTGTAAAATTTGCAATAGTATCTTGCAGGTTTTATAGATGTATCATTTACTTCAAAGAAGCAGCTGTTGTTTCAGGGTTTGTTTGGTTTTTTTGTTTTTATTTAGGTGACTAGAGTAAAAACTCTTGATATTCCCCTTTGGAGGGCATGGACTCTACAGTTACATAATGACATGCTGTGTTGCAGCTCATTTAAAGATAGGAAAAACTTATGCTCTTTTTTAATTGGGCCCTTTTCTTGGATCTTTAAGAGCACACATGAGAATCTGCTACTCAGAAGTGGTGATGCTAAATGGTAAATTGTTAAAACAATGTATTTAGTATTTCTTTATTCTTCTTATTTGTATCTCTTAACTGAAAGAGTAGTGTGTGGAATCACATTGTAAATACTTCTCATCTCCAAGAGGCTAACAGCCTTTACAGCAGTGTTGTTCACAGCGAATGCAGAGCATTTTTACTGCTTCAGCAACAGTGGTTCTGAACTGCAACTAGAAGTTGACTATCATCTGTGACTCTAGTGTTTTGGAGCTGAGCGATTTACAAGTCTTCTATTTCACAAATGTATAGCTTTATTCTCCCTTTTCTGTATCTGTGGTCGCATCTACTCATGTTCTTTACTATGGAGTAGACTAATTAGCAAGTGATATTAGTTCCTAAAGTTGCAAAACAAGAAAATAGCATGCTGGGCTGTATTAATAGATGTATCACTTGCAAATCAAAGGAAATGGTTCTCCTGCTATATTTGGCACTGGCAAGGCCTCACCTGGAGTTTTGTGTCCAATTTGGGCCCCATACCTCAAGAAAGATGTGGATAGATTGGAAAGAGTCCAGGGGCAAGTGATTAAAGTTATTATAAAGGCTTGGGAAACATGGCTTAGGAGCAGAGTTGTCCAACTTGTGGCCTATGGGTAGATGGGTTTTGTGCCCCATAGTCTCTCCTGTGTGGCTGCCACTCCTCCTGCCACTACTGCTGCTGCTGCTTGGGTCTCTGGGCTCCCCCTCCTTCTGAACTATGGTGGCAACTGCAGTAGGGGGATGAGAGGGACCCTACACCCAGTGGCTGCTGCATTGTTTCTTGATGACCCCCATGGGATGTGACCCTCCCCACCGCTGTCCAGGGTGCAAACTTGACCAGTTCACCCATCTGGCAGGCCACTGGGATTGTCCTTGTGGGCCACATGGTGTACACTCCTCATTTAGAACCTGTTGCTGCTCCACATATTCTGAGGTTCCTTTTGTGATTTAATGCAATATATCTTTTTCCTCTACCATATCTAGGTGATCTCGTTCTTCTTCATTGGGCTGATGTCCATGATGATTCCACTGTGCCATGTCTTTGGAGGTCTCATTGCTGTCTGCCTCTTCATGGGTCTGTTTGATGGCTGCTTCATTTGCATCATGGCTCCTATTGCCTTTGAGTTGGTTGGTGCCCAAGATGTCTCTCAAGCCATAGGATTTCTGCTGGGACTCATGTCAATTCCTATGATTGTTGGTCCCCCCATTGCAGGTAAATGTTGAGACAGTTGGTAGCCTGTACATCTAGCTACTTAATCATTTCCAAGAAGTGAGATTGGTATTTAAGATGAGGCAAATGGCAAAGGGTAATTCCTTGTCACTGCTTTTACCTTTTTGTTTTCCTATTTTACTTTAGCTTTGGCATCTTAAAACACGCAGGTGTAATACTCTGTCCTCCCAAAGACACTTCAAGATTTCCATTTGCGTGTAAGAATCTAATATCTTAATTTAACATGATGGCTGGACCCAGGACAAACACCACTTGATACCTAGTCCCATTTAGACATGAAGCCATTGTTGGCTACACTTTTGAGAACTGTACAATGATCCAACTAATTATGTGTCCACCTTACAACATTTTCATCAAGGCTATGGGTGCTCAACCTCTGGCCCATGGAGCCATAGATTATCTGGCCCACAGCATTCTTTGTGGATTGGGAAGTTTGGCGGCAGGGGAGTGGTGGCCATAAATATGGCCATCCTCCTTCACTGCCAAATTCCCAAACCCTGAGCCCTGCACAGCAGGTTGGGGCCAGATCACACCTCTCATTCCCCCTTCAGAGCTGGATGAGGCTGGGCCATGCCTCTCCATCTAGGCTGGATGGGGCTGGTTCAAACCCCCTTTCCCTTGTGAGGCCAGGTTGTGGCAGGCTCAAACCCCCTCCGCTACCACAGGGCTAAGTCAAGCCCCCTTCCCTTTGTGGGGCTGGGCCATACCCTCTTCCCCCCACAAGAAGTAATTGGGGCTGGGCCATGCTCCTTTCCCTTGTGGAGCTGGGCCCCAGCCCCTCTGTCCTACCCATGAGGTCAGGTTGAAGCAGGGATGCCCCCTGCACCACTCTGCCATGACTACCCTGTGTGGGATTGGGACCATCAGCTGGAGCCAGCCTGTAGAGGACCTGGGCACTACCTATCTGGCCAGCCAGCCAAAAATGTTGAGCATCACTGATCTAGGTTTTATTTCCATAGCTTGCTAGTGAGAATGTCATGTGAGATAGTAAAAGGCCTTGCTAAAATTCCTCTCCCTCCATCCATAAAGCCAGACACTTTGACATAGAAGGAAATCAAGATGATCAGGTATGCTGTTTGTTCATCAGGTTCTTGTTGCATCCATGGTGGCTATTCCCTACTGTCTTGTATCTCTACCTAGAGGACTAGGTGCTCTCTGACTCCACCTAGAGGACTAGGTGCTTGGAAAGGGATTCCTTGGTGACATGCTCCATGGTCTTTTTAGGTATCAGGGTCAGACTCTGATCTTCTTTCTTCTGTTTCTTAAAGACTGTTTCTATACTTGCCTTTTCCAGTTGCTGGGGGCCTCACCTGACTGTCACAAATTCTTGAAGATGATAAGCAAGCCTATGGCTCTGAAACTACCTCAGTTCTTTCAGTATGCGAGAATACATTCCCTCTGGCCCTGGTGACATGAAAATTTCCAGCTATTCTAAGGATGGAAACAGACATCACCTTTGTGCTGCCATAAACATTTTGACAGCAGCACAAAGTCAAAACAAACTGATGTCTGAACTGGGACTAGCTACCTGGATCAAGGACAAGAAGAAGTCCTTTTTAAAATACATAGGGGGTAAAAAGAAAGTACCGGGTAACATAGGGCCTCTGCAAGACACGCTAGGAAATCTGGTGGTAGCACCAGATGACAATGCTAACCTCTTTAACAATTTCTTTGCCTCCATTTTTCTGAGCAGGGACTAGATCATTTCCCCGCACTGGGATCCCCGATGGTCCCAGGGGAGGCGCAGCCAGGCCCAGGGTCAGTGAGGAACTAGTCGGGGAACTTCTGGTGGGTCTAGACGTGTTCAAATCAGCAGGTCCTGACAATCTCCACCCCAGAGTGCTGAGGGAATTAGCAGAGGTCATTGTGGGACCCCTGGCACCACTTTACGAGCACTTGTGGTGCTCTGGTGTGGTGCCAGAAGACTGGAAAAGGGCCAATGTGGTCCCCATTTTCAAAAAAGGAAGGAAGGAGGACCCAGGAAATTATAGGCCTGTTAGTCTTACCTCAATCCTGGGGAAGCTCTTTGAGAAAATTATCCAGGAGCACATCTGCGAGGGGCAAGCAGGGGAGTGTATGCTTAGGGGCAACCAACATGGGTTCATTAGAGGCAGGTCCTGTCAGACCAGGTCACAAAATCTTTGGATGCAGGTGTCGTGGTGGATGTAGTCTTTCTGGACTTTAGGAAGGCCTTTGACACTCTCACCACATTCTCGTTAAAAATTATGAGATTGTGGTGTCAATGCCTACAGAGTCAGATGGGTCGCCAATTGGCTGGAGGGCTGCACCGATAGAGTGGTGGTGGATGGGTCATTTTTGACATGGAGGGATGTGGGCAGTGGGGTCCCCCAGGGCTCGGTCCTCGGGCCCACATTGTTCAACCTTTTCACCAGCGACTTGGATGAGGGGGTGAAAAGCATCCTGTTCAAATTCGCAGATGACACTAAGATGTGGGGAGATGTGGGCATGCCAGAAGGGAGGGACAGGCTGCAATTGGATCTGGACAGGTTACAGGGGTGGGCGGACGAGACTAAGATGAGATTCAACACTGACAAGTGCAAGGTACTGCACCTAGGGAGGAAGAACCAGCAGCATACCTACAGGCTGGGGAACTCCCTTCTCGTCAGCACAGAACCAGAAAAGGATTTTGGAGTCATTATAGACTTCGAGATGAACATGGGTCGCCAATGTGGGGATGCAGTCAGGAAGGCTAACCGCACCTTGTCATGCATCCTCGGATGCATCACGAGCAGGTCCAAGGAGGTGATCCTTCTCCTCTATATGACATTGGTCAGGCTGCAGCTGGAGTACGACATCCAGTTCTGGGCGCCGCACTTCAGGAGGGATGTGGACAACATGGAGAGGGTCCAGAGGAGGGCCACTTGCATGATCAGGGGCAGCAGAGCAGAGGTTACAGGACCTGAACCTGTTCAGCCTACACAAGTGAAGGCTGAGAGGGGATCTGGTGGCTGTCTATAAACTGGCTGAGGGAGACCAGCGGGCAATGGGAGAGTCCCTACTCCCCCGAGCACTACTGGGAGTAACAAGGAATAACGGCCGTAAGTTGATGGAGAGTAGATTCAGGCTAGATATCAGGAGGCACTACTTCGCTGTCAGGGCCGCTAGGATCTGGACCCAACTTCCAAGGGAAGCGGTGCTCACTCCTACCTTGGGGCTAGATAGACACGTTGCCAGGGTTGTTTGACTCCAGCATCCTTTCCTGCCCAGGGCAGGGGGTCAGACTTGACGATCTGCTCAGGTCCCTTCCAACCCTACCAACTATGAAATTATGAAACTATGTTGCACCACAGATGGTCAAATTGTAGCTAAGACAGAAGGCAGTAATAAATTGGGTCACTTTATTGGGGCCTGTGTCTGTTTTATGATGGGAAAGTATGGGCAGTGCAAAGCTGTCTGTGGTCTCCAGCTGCCCTGAGGCAGGGGTCCACAAGCTTGAGGGGCCTTGTCCTGCACACCCCTGGAATTCCCAGGGAGGATTATGTCCCTCGAGCCTTGGGAGCGCCTGCCTCACTTTCCCCATTTACCTGAGGGGATGCATCTGGGTAAGTGGGAAAAGTCAAGGCTTCAGGGCACGTGTCTGCATCTGGGGGTTCCCTGCTTGCAGGCATACACACTGTACAAAAGTGATACTCTTGGAGGATTCCCCCTGCAGGGATTTCTTTGAAGGCGCAAAGTAAAGAAAGGATAGAGGGGGGACTCCTATAGAGGGATCCTCCCTTCACACTTGCACCCTGTGCTGCTGTCAGAAATGTGTGCCAACCCATGATTTCCCTGCAGGCACCTGCAAATGCAAAGGGGAACCCCTGTGGGAGTTTCCCCCTCTGCCTCTGCAGGTGTGAATGGGAACAAGATTTCCCTGCAGGTACTCCCCTGCTCCCCAGCATGGGGGTGTGGCAACCGGGGACATTCATAGACATCCCTGGAGCACAACCAGCTGTGCCACAACTTATCGCACTCCACCTAGGATGTCTTTTTCCAGCCTGTTTCTTCTACTACTCTAGGTTGCTTATCTCTATGCCTATGCTTGCTTGCCGTAAGGTAGATGACTTTATTTGTGAAGACTGAAGTAAAAGAGGCATTAAATACTTCAAGCTTCTTGGCATCAGTTACTAGATTCCCCTCTGCATTACACTTTATTATTATGCTGTTTTGTTGTCTTTCACATCCATTGTTAGCTGCAACTCAATGCACACCCAGCTTTTCTGAACCCATGCAATACTTTTATAGTCATGAATAATGAGATGACCAAGTTTCCACTTTTGGTACAATTCCTTTTTGAATTTCAGCTCTGAGGAGTTTGCTGTTCACCCAGGCTGATCACTTGGTACACTTCCTTCTTTTCTTTGCATCAAGGGAGTCTGCTCTTGCACCCTGAATATGGCTTTGGTAACCAGCTCTCCTTCTCCCTCTGACGTGCCTTCCAGGGGAGTTCCCTGAGATTCAAAGCTGTTTTTCAGAAGTCCGGTGTCCTTATTCTGCTGCTTTCCTTTCTTCCTTTTCTTAGGCTGAAATTGAATGCTGTCATTTTGTGATGAATGTCACCCAAGTTGTCTTCCACCTTCTTAATTTTGCTCAATTCCTCCCTCTTTATAAGCAGCAAATTGAGAAGGGTTTTGCCCCCAGAGTGGCTTTTCATCCAACTGTACCAACAAGCTACTCCCAGTATGCTCCAAGTACTTTCTAGACTGCCTGTGCACTGCTGTGTTACCTTCCCAGTGGATGCCATCGTAAATGAGGTCCCCCATAAGCACTAGGTCCTGCATTTTGGATACTTCCATTAGTTGTTCCCCTGCTCCCTTTGCTTGGTGGTGTATAGCAGAAACCTGCCATGGCATCATTTTTGTTCTCGCCTCTTACTTCAATCCAGAGGCTTTCAATCATCCTACCTCCTGCTTTGTACTGCACATCAGATCAAACATAAATCTTTTAGGAGGAGCAGTGCTGCTGCTTTATTTCCCCTG